TAGGTTCTAATATGAGATCAGAGACATGTCATTGACTTCGTCATGATCGTCTGTATTTTTTGTTCCAATACTCTAGGAAAGGAGTTGAAACTTGATTAAGGGGAGACTATTCAGGGATGTGTAGATCTCGAGGGGCTCTATGATGATGTATTTTGTTTGAGAGGAGGATGAACAATATCATACCTACTCGGAAATCAAATGTTCTTAATATCAACAACATCATACCATTTGCGAACACATTGAAACAATCTCGAATCCCTCGCTACTCTCCCACGCAACCCCAGTTTTCGGTCCGTCCATTATGAAGATCCAAAAGGAATCAACACTGAAGTTTCTTTTCATTTTTGTGAAGATCGAAGCGGCGGTTTAAAAAGTGGAAAATTCCTTAGAACGCGATCTACTCACCCCAATTTCAAATTAAAATGAACAGGAAGAGCTCGTCAATCCAAAGTAGTTCAGAAATTAGGGCGTTTCACCAGAAATGGTGAAAATTACATTCGAATTCACCCGCAAAGACATTACAAATCTCAGAAAATCAACAACAAAGGAAAACTATCAAAATCATCAAAATCGTCAAAACCCTAGAGACCGACCCGGCTCTCATGATTCGGTATCAATTTCTGCCCTAAACTCAAACTAGGCGATTCTAGAACAGAAGAACAACGGTGTGTACCTGGGCTTCTATGCCGGCTGAATCCGGTGCCGCCGGCGAACCATTTCGGATTCTGCGGAAGCGGGAATTGGACAGACGAGAGTAAGTATTTTTTAATTTTATTTTTAACGCCCGATATATCCGAAGATTGGATCTTGGGGTCACGAAATTGATGGAAAAAAATATTATAGTTAAGATTCACATAGTAGAATCATTTTTAAAAAAAGAAACATAATAAGAACAACTCGTTGTTGGATAAATACAGAGTTTAAAATTGAAATGAAATTATGAGTTTATAATAATCAGTGGCCCATACCCTTTTATGGAACAAAATAATTACAACATGACTTGATGCCCCCAATCTGTTTTATTGTTTGTATGCACATAATAGTCCAAAACTAGTTTTCTTTTTTTTTTTATGCATTAAATTAATAAAAATATCTCTTTATTTTATATTTTATCTTTAAAATTTATAACCTCTCACTAATATTTTACAATTTCTTAAAAATATCGATAAATTTTTTAGAAAATTACAAATATAAATAGTTATATACAATATAAATATATATGTATTTTTTAAATATGATACTAACCGTAAGAATTTTTTTTAAAAAAATTATAAGCATGCCACACAGCATCTGAGGCATCCACAATATTGTCGTGGCATGGCGGCAGATGAGCATGCTCCTTGTCGCATCCATTCACAGAATCGCACTCATCCACCACCTTAGCCAACACTGACCGCCCATTTGTAGCCGTAATTTGGATCATTGTACCAACCTGTGGACAGCGCCACTATTGGGTCCGAGTTGTCATGGAACTACCCGTCGCACTCCGATGGGTCGCCTCCACTCCCACCTTTGGTGAAGTCGTTATTTGTAAGCACGGCTCGAGTAGAGGATGTCACCGGCGGCGAACACTTGAACTGAGGGAATGACTTTCCTTTGCACTGCAATTTTCCAATAGAATGACACCCTTTTCTCGAAGATGGCAGACTCTGTAACGACTTACAATAAATACCATATTTGTCATTTTATCATAAACAAATATTTTGTATCATCCGTAATTTATTTTATTACAAACTCACCTGCGAGCAGATGTGAGTGTCGAGGTTGGGATCATCCGAGCATTTCTCGTTTATGCAAATCAATTGAGCTTGGCAATCGGTTAGGGTGCGACATGGGTCGTTGCAGGAAGAGATGGCACGACTGAGGTGGAGAAGAGAAACAAGTAATAGAGTAAGAGATGACAACAATCCCAAGTTACCCATTGAAGAAAGGAGATATTTTGTTTTGTTTTTCAAGTGATGATTGGGTTTATATAATAACCCTACAGCCGCCCATGGATTCTTGTGAACTCTATAAGGCCTCAAAGGTCTGTTCTTTCCAAAATCTATCCCCTCGGAAGCTAGCATCTTCATTGGCACGGTTAGAAATCATGGATCTCCACAATGGTACGATATTGTCCACTTTAAACGTAAGCTCTCATGACTTTGCTTTGAGCTTCCCTAAAAGGCCTCATACTAATGAAGATAGTATTCCTCACTTATAATCATTCCATAAATTAGCCAATGTGGACTCACTCCCAATAATCCTCAACAGGCACACCACTCGGTATCTGATTCTGATACCATTTGTAACGGCTCAAGGCCACCGCTAGCAAATATTGTTCGTTTTGACCCATTACGTATCGCAGTTAGCTTCACAATTTTAAAACGCGTCTATTAAGGAAAAGTTTTCACACGCTAATAAGGAATGATTCGTTCCCTCTAGAACCAATGTGAGGTCTCATAGGTTGGGAGAGAGATTATTAGAGGAAGTCGCTACCTTATTTTATTTTATTTAACATAAAGTTTAAATTTAATACATTATTCTTAGTATAACAAGGGTAGGGTACAAGAATTTGAAACCGTGACTACTATTAGGAACAGAGTATATGCCAATTATCTTCAAGTTATACTCCTTACCATTATTTCTTAGCTATAAAAAGTCTATTACATAGTTTTTCGTTAGCTATTATATCTATTATATTGAAAACAACGAACTTAAACAAGTTGGTTCAAAACCAACGATGACTTTGATAGAAAAAGATAAAATAGTTCGTCGCAGGAGATGATGATCAAAGACTAGCCATGTCTTTACGCTCATCCTACAACATTATTACATTATTTCGACCATTTTATTGTAATTAAGCATCCGACCAGACGACAGGTTCTTCCCCGACATCTATGTCGAGTCCCAAAGCATGCCAAACTCCGTTTGAGCCATCGACAATATTGTTCCGACACGGCGGCTGATGAGCATGCACCTTGTCACATCCATTAATAGAATCACACTCGTCGACCACCTTAGCCAAAACCGACCTTCCATTTCTAGCCCTAATTCTAATCTTCTTCCCACATCTTGACCCTCCATTGTACCAACCTGTGGACAACGCCACAATTCGCTGAGAGTTATGATGGAACTTGCCATCACACTCCGACGGTCCCCCACCGTCGCCACCTCGGCTGAAGTCATTGTTCGTTAGGATGGCTCGAGTCGAGGAAGTCACTCGAGGCGAACACTTGAATTGGGGGAATGATTTTTCCTTGCAATGCAAGTTCCCAATCGCCTCGCAACCGTTGCTTGAAGATGGCGGGAATTTTCCTCCGCTTCCTCCGCCCCCACTGCCACTCGAACAAACGTGCGTTCCAATGTCGGGATCGTCGTTGCATTGGCCGTTAATACATATCAACCGCCCTTTGCAATCGTTTAGGGTTTGACATGGGCCATTGCATGAGGAGATTGCTCGGGAAAGGCTGGGAAGGGAAATAACCCAAACAAAAAGAGCAACCAACAAAGCCAATTTCGACATGGGAGCTGAGCTTTTAATGTTAAGAAAAGAGATGGTTTTTCCAAGTGAGTGATGGCTTGGCCTTTATATATGGGACCAATTTTATGTTTGGTCCTTCAACTTGTAAGATTTTGCAGTTCGACCCATGTCGGGAATTTTGTCATCGAATTCTATGCATTTGGTTCTTGTTTGCCGGTCTTGTCTTTATTTGTTATTATTATTATTATTTATTTAGATCTTTGGAATCATAATCTAAAATGTAAATAAATAATAACCACGGTGCCGTGTGAAATAAATATACTTAGATCAAATTACAAATTTGGCCTCTAATGTTTTAGATAGGCTCATAATTAGTCAATTATTGATGATAACAAAGAGAAAAGTTCATAGATGTTGTGCACGACAACACGATTAGATGTTTAGGGTTTAGAGTTTGAACTTTAGTAAAGTAATTTGCGTACTTCTTTAGTGGGATGCATCGTTTCTGTTTATATTTTTCGAGTTTCTATTGTTAATAATATGTACATATGATATTTAAAGGGAAAAAAAAAAAGACGCTTCTCCTAAAAATATTCCACAACTAATAATGTTAACTGATAGCAAATATTGTCTGTTTTGGCCCGTTACGTATTGCTAAGGAATGCTTCGTTCCCTCTTCAACTGATGTGAGACTTCACTTGGGAGTTAGGGTCCTCGCTGGCACACTGCTCGATGTCGTTCCCCTCTTCACATGGGATCTCATAATCTACCCCCGATGTGCAGCGTTCTCGCTGGTACATTGCCCAATGTCTGGTTCTCAGATACCATTTGTAATATCCCAATCCCAAGTACCATTAGCAGATATTGTATTTTTTGGGTTTTCCTCTCTAGTTTCTCCTAAAGTTTTAAAACAAATATGTTAGAAGGAGGTTTTCAGTTCCCCATCCCACAAAAATACTCCTATAAAGGTTCAATGATTAATAACTTCACCCATAAATGACCAAATTATGTACAAGTTAAGCTTATTGACTAACCGTGTTCCAGATATACATTTAGTCAAAGGAAAGTAAGGATAGAAAGAACACAAACATTGGTTTAGTTATAAAACTGAACTTGGTATTTGTACTCTCGCCCCTCTTAGCAAAGAGCCAGAGAAACTTTCGAGTTATGAATCGGGAATAGAACCAATGGGCGATGCTTGGGTACAATTTCGAATCCGTTATTATATATTTGCTCTAGTTTTTGTTGTTTTTGATGTTGAAACGGTTTTTCTTTATCCATGGACAAAGAGTTTTGATGTATTAGGGGTATCCGTCTTTATAGAAGCTTTAATTTTCGTGCTTATCCTAATTGTCGGTTTAGTTTATGCATGGCGAAAAGGAGCATTGGAATGGTCTTAGTACATCAAAACTCATTCTTTGCTAGACCATGGACTTAAATACCGTTTCTTAGAGATCATAGCCTATTTGATTCGAGTCGTCCCGTAACAATTACAGTTGAATCAATTTATGAAAAAAAGATACAATTTTTAGTATTATTAGGCGTCGGACCAAGTAATTGGCTCTTCACCCACATCTATATCGAGTCTCAAAGCGTTCCATACACCATCAGAGCCATCGACAATATTGTTCCCGCAAGGCGGCAAATGAGCATGCGCCTTGTCACATCCATTTATAGAATCGCACTCATCCACCACCACAGCCACCACAGACCGTCCATTCCTAGCGCTAATTTTAATCTTTTTCCCACATCTCGAACCTCCATTGTACCAACCCGTGGACAACGCCACTATTAATTCAGAGTTATCATAGAATTCCCCGTCGCACTCCGACGGGTCTCCGCCGTCACCCTCTTCGCTGAAGTTGTTGTTCGTAAGGATGGCTTTGGTCGAGGAAGTCATCCGTGGCGAGCACTTGTACTGCGGATGCGATTTTCCTTTACAAATCAAGTTGCCAAAGGGTTGACAACTGCTACTTGAGGGCGGCGAAGATCCGCCCCCGGTGGAACATACGTGGCTCCCAACGTAGGGATCGTAGTTGCATTTGTCAAGTTTGATGAAAGATCTCATATCAATGGAGACCGTATTCATTACTTTTAAACTCAGAATTATATTCTTAATTAGTCAATGTGTGACTCCATCTCAATAATCTTCTCATCTCGAATAAAGTATACCGAAGAGCCTCTGCTAAGGTCTATGGATCTCTCGAATAGTCGATTCAACTCATTTTCTAGAGCCCTCGAACAAAGTACACTTATTGTGCAACACTTAAATCACTCTTGATTACACTTTCGAAATTCACAACTTTTTTGTTTGATGCTTAGGATTCGATTGACATGACTAAGTGAAAAGTATGTTAAGAACCACAGAACTCCATAATTGTATGATATTGTCAACTTTGAATCACAAACCTCTACAATTGTTTGATATTGCCTACTTTGAATATAAGCTATCATAACTTTGTCTTATGTTTCTCCAAAATGTCTCGTACTAATGGAGATAGTATTCTTTATTTATAAACCTAGGATCTGTAACGACCCAAACCCACCACTAGCAGATATTGTTCTCTTTGAGCTTTCCCTTTCGAGCTTCTACTCAAGGCTTTAAAACGCGTCTTCTAAAGGAAGGTTTCCACCCCTTATAAATGATGATTTGTTCTCCTCCCAAACCTTTGTAAGACAGTAACCAAACAATTTGGAGTGAGTTTGATTGCGTGTGGAACTCTTTTTGGGTTTGGCGACCAAATGCATGTCCCTCAAACAATGCTTGACTTCACAATATAATCAACAGAATGGGTATGGGAACCAGAATGGGCGTGATTACATTAAATGTGAAGGTGCTATTATAGTCTGACCATGGACCTTAACTCGAATTAAAAGCCAGGTACGATTTGAACTTCTTAACTCAAATTAAAAGCTAGGTTGGTTGAATTGGTAACTCTATACGACATTAAGATAGAGTTTACAACCTAACTCACTTTGGATTGGTTTAATTGTAAGGTTATTTTTTATTTTCAATCATTTAAAAAAATTATATTTATCCACTCAAACCTATTATATTAATAACTAAAATTTCATAAAATTTAAATAACAAATATTTAATATTTATTATAAACATTAATTATTTTCAATAGAGTTGGTTGAGTTATAACTTAATTATTCTAAATAACATTTTTCTTTTTTATCTTTTAATAAATCTTTAAAAATATAAATTTCATTTCTCATTTTATAATATTTATTTTATTTTTATTTTCTTCCATCATTTACATTGATATTTTCAAAATTATCCAAAATCCCGACATTACTTTTGGGATTTTTTTTAATAAATGAATAAAAATTTGTGGTAATTCGTTCATAATAAGATTAATTAAAAAGAATAAAACAGAAATAATGACGATGCTGAAAGACGTCGTATAAATATAAATATAAATATATAAATATATAAATATATATATATATATATATATATATATATATATATTATTATTATATTTATAATTTAATGTTTTTTTTTTTGGATTCCACTCCGCGAAACACACTCTCTGTGCAGCGATGGAACTTGGAGCATCTTTGTTCTATCTCGATCCAATCGAAGGTGAATGCGCAATGCTGTCCATTTTCCTCTGCTTTCTTTTCTGTATCTCATACTGCTGATTGTAATACCCGATTACCGCGAATGGTAAGCTTCTCTACTTTTCGCGCTTTCCGCCGGATGGCTTATACAAGACTGTTTGGTTGGTACCAAAATGTTGGGCTATCGGTCATGCCATTCCTTGCGCAATCCATTAGAACTCACTCTCAGCTTAAAATCGGAGCAGCTGAAGGCCATTCATGGATAATTTCGTTCGGAATGCGATACAGTGATTGTGTTACTTCTTTTATTCTCTTTTATTGCCATCCTTTTTAATTTCTCATTCGTATTCTTTGTCCTTCTCGATCGTTGATTAGTTTGATTCAGTATCTTTTGGATTCTTTTCCCTTCTTCGGTTAATTTTGTCTTACTGACGAATTTCTGTGAGTTTGAGCTTACTGTTTCAATTCTCTGTTATTCCACAATGTATGAATGTGCTGGAGTACTTATCTATTTCTAGCTGCTATAGAATGTAATCCTAGAACTATGTTTTGTGTTTCTGTGAATATTTAGAGCGTATTGATCGTTAGAATTGGTGGAGACAATGTCACTGGTCTTTCACGCATTATTCACAATCTTCCAATCATCGAATGAAATATAATTCATCCGCTTCATCCTGTGTTTTCCGACTCATTCTCACCTCACTTCATTAATCGAACTGCTTGTTACTTGTATTAGTTCTCTGTATAAACAAGTCTCAATCGGGTTAGTAGATCTGATTTTAGTTATTTCATTTGCTGTTGACGTGAAATATTAGCAACGACTTCCTGCAGGTTAAAGGCCACCTTAAAATCTCTTCTCCAACAAACCGAAGGATGAATTTGTATTTATCTGCTTTCTATTAGAGAAATCTCCACTTGCACTTTTGGGTGCTCATTACAGGTACTACAATCTAAGTGCTTGATGGTGGAAAATTGCATTCATTGATTCATTGGAGGGAGGGAATTAGTCGGAGAAGTATCTCTTATTTAATATTTTTTTTTGATTGTGTAATTGGAACAGTACATCCTGCTTTAGGAATTTTTATTTGGAGATGATTACTCACGAGCAAGATCCTGATGTCGTTCGATGGGGCCTTGAACTCTTTGATGGCAATCCATTTTCTAATTACGGGTATTGCGGAAACGTTGATCACGATGAGATAGAATACTATCAAGGACAATGTTTTGATGCAGATAGTTATGACAAGATATGCAACATAGAAAATAATGAGCTTATTGCTCAAACTCTCCAAGAACTCTCACAGCTTGCAGTGGCAGAGCCAGTATCCTTTGATGAAGGGATAGAGAATGTACAACTTTCCATGTGCCCACAAGATTGGTTTAGTCTGTCCATTAATACCTTTGGTTCTGGTATGCGGCAAAAATTAAAATTTTAATGCAGAACACATTCGAGGTTCAATGCCTAGCTTCTATTTTCTATGTTTAAAATTAATTGTGTTTTTCAGAGCATAATAATGATCTGGAAGAGGAAGATGATAGTTCATGTGCCATGCCTGTCGAGACATCCTACAGTGGGGATGACTGGTCATATTCTTTAGAGCTGACTGATGAGTATGCCCTTGATGGAGAAGTGGGAAAAAGATTGAATCAAATGGTCTCAATTCCTGTAAGTTATGCATTGAATGAGAACTCATATTTACTAGAGTGCTATCAGACGCTTTGCATGTGTGCATATGTCTTCTGCTGAGAGTGGTTGATTTCCCCGTTAATTTTATTTCTGGGGATGATTCTTCCTTTCATTGGTCAGATTACTGGAAATCTCTTCTGGTTCTCATGTTATTCTGTTGAACTTGAGCCCTTCTGTTGAAATCTGATGTTTTCATGTTGTTTGTGTGAAATAATTTTTTGTTTGTATAGCATTCTCCTTTTTATTGTTAACAATTAATAAATGGTAGGATGCAGTTGGTGGTTTAAATTACTGTCGCTGCAAGTTGAAGTACGCACAAATTTTTTATTTCCTTTTCATTGCTCCTTTCTTTTTGAAATTTGTACTTTTAGGGGTTCTCTCGTCAAAAGCTCTTGGGCCGAGGCTCTTAAACTATGGTCATAGTGGAACTGATAATTTGAAAGAGGAAATTGGAGATAATGCATGTACCTACATGGCGATTGGGATGGTTTATACTATGACTTCTAATTTTCTGATTACTTGCTAAAATGGTCTACTAAATATACTAAATGTTTTTAGTACTTATTTTGAGTTTTTGTAGCATATTCCAAAAATTAATGGAGAAATTCCTTCTGTTGATGAAGAAGCTTTAGATCATCAAAGACTATTGGACAGGTGGTGTTTCTATGTTCGTCTGATACCCCTTTTCTTGCCTGTCCCCATCTCACTCTCACACACGCTCATCTCTAACTTCGAATAGCTACAGTTATTTTTCGTAGCTTAGCATGAATATAACATGCTACTATTTGGTGCCATTGTGCCGAACTAATCTGCCCCCTCCCCCCCTTAGACTGCAGCTATATGATTTGATCGAGTTGAAAGTGCAAGGAGATGGTAACTGTCAGGTTAGCTTGTTCTACTTTGTCATCTTAAGCTCTCTGTCTGCTACGGAGTCACTGGTGCAAATGTTTGTCTTCTTTTATGGTACTTATGATGATCACTCTGTCATGATTTTAGATATCTTTAGCTTTAGCTCTTCCCTTAATAATTTGAATTACCTACTGCTAACTGCAATACCTGTTTAATTTCATTTGAGGGCTCTATGCGAGCTTTTGAGACATGCATCCTTATTTTTGTTTTGTTTCCAGTTTCGTGCTCTGTCAGATCAAATTTATCGAACTCCTGAGCACCATAAATTTGTGAGGGAGCAAGTTGTTAATAAGGTCTGGCGTATTTATATTTAAATGTTGCTTCTGACTTTTTCTTTTGTCCTATAATTTTATGGCCATTTCTATTGTAGTGTTGAAGTTTGTTATAATGAACTATTTTAACTCTCAGCTAAAGTCATATCCAGAGATATACGAAGGATATGTTCCCATGGCCTACACTGACTATCTGAAAAAAATGTCCAAGTACTATTCTGACACATTTCACGATTTGTTTCTTCTCTTTGATTGTTTGATTGGGGAGATGTCTAACTGGATTCTTTGGTCTTGGCATTTCTTTGGGTTGATCACAGGAGTGGGGAATGGGGCGATCATGTCACTTTGCAGGCTGCTGCAGATACGGTATGTATGGGTGACAATAGCTGCTTTAGGTTCTGTTCCTTGTACTTGCAACCCTTTCTGGAAAGACGGCATTGTAAATAATTAGTTCATCAAATCCTAATAAGTGGTTATAATGTGGTGCAGTATGGTGTTAAAATTTTCATGATTACATCATTCAAAGATACCTGCTACATTGAGATTCTTCCTAATATTGAAAGGTCCAAAAGAGGTACATTCTAATTTATATTGTTTCGTTTCTTCTAATCGTTAACAGCAATTCATTGCATATTTAATACATTAGATTTCCAAAGTAGAGTTACCATCTTTTAATAAACTCTCCCTGTACAAATGTAGATTATATGAAATACACAATTGCTAGTTGACCCTACACCTTTTGTAGTCGGGAATTTAGAATATATAATGTTGAAGTATTCATAGAAGATTAAACTTACAGTAACTCTAGCTTAAATTTTTTGGTGAATAATGATTTAACATGGTGTAGGAGGTTTGTGTTCAAATTTTAGTAATGTTATTTTTACCCAATTGATATTGATAATTGCTTATTTAGTGTTAGACAAATTTTCATGCCTACAAATGAGAGAGTGTTGACGTTTTAACCCAAGATTAAATTTATTGAAATTCATTAAACTTATGGCTTCAACCATGATTTAACTTATAATATTCTAGGTTGGTGGACCAAGGGGGTTTAAGTCGCTCGAAACTAAGACTCACTGCCACTATGTCCACAGGGAGTTTATATCCTAAACTTGTGATTCCTTGAGTGGAGAAAAAATGGCGTGGTGACAAAATGACTTGGATATCTCAACTGAAAGCTTTCTTTCCTTTTATAATAAACAATTGCATCAATATGGAGTGCTAGAAAGCAAGGGTCAAAAGCATGATGCATTTTGATAAATGAAATGTACATAAGAAATGGGAAATGGGCATTAGTTTAAGGATTATATAAAAACTTTTCATTTGCCAATAATCTATCAAATATATAATAGCTGTAGAAGAACATGGACAAAACAAAGCAAGGCAACGCAAACACCAGGAAGAGGCATTAAAAACCAAGAAGTTCTCGTGGCCAATCCTTTTGCCTATCAGTCACTAGAAATTTCTTCTAGTCACTCTCTCAATCTGAATGCAAAGCATGGCACAAATACCTTAAACAAAAGTGCTTAGCTTTCCTTCTAAACTTGTTGGTAAATCAAAGTTGAAGGATACATTCTTAATTTCTTCTAGGACAGCAATATGGAAACAAAAAATGTGGTGGATTTTATATTAAAGATAGGTAGAGAAAAGACACCAAAGGGAGAGTATGATCCTCTTCATCACCACCCTCTTGAAAAAGGCACACCAATTTGGTGAAAATTCTCTCAATTGGTTTTCCAACGGAAACATATTAGTATTGATTCCTCTTAGGCAGATAGCTCGATTGAATATCATGCAGCTCAAAATCCTTTGACAAAGTTAGAATACTCTGCCATGAAAGGAGTAATAAACCGATGATTCAAGATTAGTTACTAAGTCTACATTGATTAAAGCCGAGGTTCATTATTCACCTGCTCATCTATTGTTGCAAGATTGTAGTATCTATAATCAAATAGGCACAGTCTAAGCCTGTTTGAAGATTGGTTGGAGCCTTTCACTCAAACCACAATGCAGAGGTGGTGGGCACTGCTTTGCTAACTGGTAGAGTGCTATCCTAGGTCTTATACAGAATGTTGACAAAGCTTTCCAGTTGTTAACAACCGTGGAAAGGTTGTAGTTACAAACAATTTCCTATGGATATAACTCCCCCAAAAGGAAGTTAGCTGCACATTTTTTACAAAAAAACTCAATAGAAGAAGACTTATCTTCGAAGACTCTTTGGTTCCTTTCTAGCCAAATGAGCCATAATAAAGGCTGAGCACAACAGTTCCACAAAATGTTAGCTTGTTTGGACCAGTTACATATCGAGAAGACTTCCACCAACCAATCCTCAATAGACTTCAGAAAGCAGTCACTAAAGCCGAAGATATTCATCAGAAAAAACCAGCCACTACCAGTAAAAGGACAATGGAGAAACATATGGTCTAAGGTCTCGTTTGATTTGCAATTCACTATGCATTTTTCACCTTCTTTTTCCTCAGCCATCAATTCTGGCCCCAATTATTATGAGCCATGTTCCCTAATATGAATATGATATTCCCTACCCCTAGATTTTCCCTTTTTGCACTTTCTCATATATGTTGATGTGATAGGGGCCTATCATTCATCCTCAAAATGCAATCAATTATTCTGTCAATTACTATAACCACACCATAATGGTTGTGGGCAGAAAACCTTCAACATGTTGATCAAAATTTTAGCATGGCTTTTGTAGATGCCAGCTATAAAGATGGATTATCCTGATATTCAAAAATTTAATGTAAAAATCAGGATAAAAAGCTTCATGTATGCTCTTGGATACTATTCGTTCATAAAATTCCCACCCTTTCAAGTCTGAACAGTTTCTTTGGCATTAGGGATACGAGGGATTTATTCACGTTCTTTTTGAATTCATCTGGCACTAGTTTTCTCTATTAGCAACACTGTCATCTCATGAATAGCTTAGCTTCTGGAAGAAAAGGCTTTCCTTTCAGTATCTCCCTCATTTACCTAGCTAACACCCTCTCCTGAAAGGACCTGTAGAATCAATTTTGTGTAAGAAAGCTGAATTTTCATCCCCTTTATTCATTGATCTAAGCTTATTTATCATCGTCTGAGCATTATTTTCTCTCTTAGCAACGTGCTGAGTGTTACTATCTTTCACATAATATCCATAGAAAATGGGTGACTTCAAACGACCCTCTATTTTCCCCTTAGAAACTCTGACAGAGATGCAGCGAATGGATGTTAATGAGTATGAAATTTACTATTAGAACCTGAAGCGATTGGTTGCTGTAAGTTTTTTTAAGTGATGGTTTATTGTTTGGTAGTAATGTGCAGCTAAGATCACGTGTTTACCAGTATCCCAACTGAGAGCAGTCGATCATGCCCAAATTCCTCTCAGCCAGCTACTTAGGAAAGTTATGTGTATTATATTTTAATATTTGAATAATCCAAATGTTGACTTAGCAAGTATTATTAGCTTTGAACTTTTCAAATATGGAAAGGTCGAGGGATTTATGGCTCGAAAGCTGTGTAAATGTTGAATATATACAGGTCATAATGTTTAATGAGCCTTTTTTTTATCCCTCATGCTTGCTTATTACTGAAAGGATTTTCTAATTGTATGCATAACTTGCAGTTATTTGCTTGAGCTTTTGGGCTGAAGTGCACTATAACTCAATATATCCTGAAGGAGGTGAGCTCTCATTATCATTAGTTTGGTAGTTGACTGTTTCATTTACTTCTTTGTCAATGGCAATGGGATGCTTAAATTATTAGATCCTTCACCTTTCTTAACCTTATGATAGTTAGTCCTTCCAAGTATTAGATGTGTTCAGTCTTTATGTGAACTTCAACAAAACTGATAGGCTTGATGAGGTCTTAATACCTTTTCTTTCCCAAATTATTGTCTTCATTAATTCTATGTTATTGACCAATATCTTTGTTCATCAATATTTTGTTGTTTAGGCTGATGGTGTTTCAAATAGATTCAAATACTAATTTGGTTGCTTTACTTTGGTTCATTTTGATTCTTGTACTTTCAACTTTGGTTCATTTTAAAGATCAAAATGAACCAAAGATGTAATTATCAAGATGAACAAAAGTTAATAGTTAAAAGTACTAAGATGAAGATTTTTGTGTGAATAAAGTTAAAAGTTTCAACAAGGAGCCCCTTGGCTTGTGATGAAGCTGGAAAGATGTAGTGCTTATTAAACTCTTCCAGCACATCGTACATAATTATTCAAAAACATTTACAACTTAATGGTATCCTAATTAAAAATTACCTTCGGAAAGGTGCCTTCTCATTTGCTTGGCATATCTAGAGTGAAATTATGATTAAACTGACAAAGTTTTACCAAGAAACTAAACGAATTAAGTTGCATCAAACACAAGCTCCATCAATTTAGTACTCTCCCACTCCCTTCCCTTCTCTCTCTCTAGCATTCGGATAAGGCTAATCTTCCAAGTTTTGTAATTCTTGCTGGTATTTATTAACTCTTAAGATTGTATCTATACCACACTGTTTGTAAAGCCAATAGAACTTCGTGCATTGTGTGGTTTTCTCCAGATGTTCCCATGTTGGAGACGAGGAACAATAGGTGGTGAATGCTTCAAAACGAGCATCATCTGGAATGACGGCTCAGATAGCAATTTTCAAATATTGCTAATCACAGTCTTCACCAAGCTTTATGGACATTTCAGTCCTAGTTCGATCCATAAGAGTTCAGCACTTAGTTCCATTTTCCTCCAAGGTTTTGTTACTATGTGCAACTCATAGGAAAACTTATGTCAAATACAGAAATGCTGCCATGCTTTTTGATTAATGTGTGCATCTATCTCTAACATTTGCCAGGAATCTTTTCGTCCCCCCCCCCCCCCCCCCCCCCATTTTTTGGGTTCAAGTAACTTTAAAATTGTAACCTCAAGCAAATGCTAATTATGTCATGCTATTTTCTGCCTCTATGTTCTCCAAGTCTCAAATCATTATGTGCACTCTCTGTCTTCGCCCATTTGAAATTATTAACCTTTTTTAAGTTTTACTATTTCCACTCTTGAAACTCTCATTAGCCTCTCCTTGTGGGTATATATATGCGTTTTTAGGGTTTGTATGAAATTTTGTTTTTATTTTCAAAACAGCTTATAGTAGTTGAGGTTAGTTTTCTCCCTAAGGTCATTCATAATCTGACACCATGGGAGAAAAAAACGAGAATTTGATGCTTCAAGTTCAAGTCTCTCGAGAAATTCATGTTTTTGAATCAAATATACGAATAAAAAGATAAATAAATGTATGAATGACTATTTCAATTTGGTGAGCTACGCATTTATTCAACATTTGAATTCTATATATATATATATATATATATATATATATGTATGTATGTATGTATGTATGGCCTCTTCCCTCCATAGTGGTGTGGTTATTGTTATTATTATTATTTTCATTTATTTGATTTAAAATAAGTAATGGATCAGATAACTATTGGGCTGAAATGGATTGTACCGAAGCTAACCCAAAGCCCAATAGGCCCATATTTTGACTATTGACGATTCAAGGCGCACGTTAGCATGAGGAACTCTTGAAAGCTTAAACAGCGCCATGAGTGCGCACTGCACTGAACATTTCAAAATCGCATTTGGGCCGTCACGTAACTAAACAACAACAATCCTGAAATAGGCTTCAAGGGTTCTGGAAGAAGAAGAAGAAGAAGAAGAAGAAGCTTCTGGAACTTCCAATCCCACAATAAAAACCGAACCCTAAACTCATTCAACGCTTTGCTTAACCACCTTATCCCAAAACCCAGCTATCTCTACCAAAACTAAAACTCTCCGAGCTCCGCTGCCTGAAAATGGCGTCTGCTAATGCAATTTCTTCTGCATCGATTCTATGTTCTTCCCAGAAGGTACTACCTTGATTTCTCATTTCTTTGTTGTTATTCTACAGAAATTCCTCCCCTTAGCTCGTAATCTTTACAATTCTTCCCTTTCCTTCATCTTTGAAAATGATGATTTGTAGATTATAGTCGTTGCGATTCTATACTGTTGTGTCTGCGCCGTATGAGAATCATGTGAGCTACGTAATTGGCGTTCTATGTAGAAAGTTTGTGGAGTTTGTTATCATAGATGAGCTGAGAGTGGGTATTTCATTCTTGTAAAATGTGTTGGTGGTGGAATTGTGAAGGAGAAACTGATAATGCTAATGTAGCATTTCCAGTAACTTACGCTGCATTTATCTAACTTTGCAGAGCTTGAGAAAGGCGAATCAAACACAGAACAACAGGCTAAATTACAGACAGGCGGGTAGCAGATTTGTTGTGAGAGCTACTGCTAAGGAGATAGCGTTTGACCAAAGTTCTAGGAGCGCACTTCAGTCTGGGATTGATAAGCTTGCCAATGCAGTCGGTCTGACTCTTGGACCTAGGGGTAACTTCTTGGTTCTTTTGATTTATCAATTACTCAGTATTGAATTTCGTTTGTGCAGACGTCGTCATTTTGCAGATTGATATCTCGTTCTACTTTATGGAAATAGATTCATTTCATGTTTTGTTACTCCATTGGATGGATTTTGAGAATTTTGGGTTCTGAACTAAATATTCAACTTGTTGTGGCCTTTGTATTTGAAGGGAGAAATGTGGTGCTGGATGAGTTCGGCAGTCCTAAAGTTGTAAACGATGGTGTGACAATTGCTCGGGCAATTGAGTTGCCTGATCCCATGGAAAATGCTGGTGCAGCTCTAATTAGAGAGGTTGGTCCTCCTTTACACTCTGATCTTCCTGTTATATTTGATCTGTTGTGATGCAATAATTTATCATCCATCAGCTATTGAAATCCTGTAAGCATACTATTTGCCATGAAGGTTGCAAGTAAAACTAATGATTCTGCTGGTGATGGGACGACAACTGCCTCAGTCCTCGCTAGGGAAATTATCAAGCTAGGCCTGCTTAATGTTACCTCCGGAGCAAATCCAGTATCACTGAAGAGAGGAATTGACAAGACCGTGCAAGGATTGATCCAAGAGCTTGAGAACAAGGCTAGGGCTATAGAAGGCAGAGATGATATCAAAGGTATTGCTTTCTGCTGGGAATTAGTAGAAAACAACCAAAATATGAAATACAAAGTTTACTGGAGGAGAAAAATCAGTACCCACCAGAAAGAAATCGAATGTAAAAGTTATTTATAATCACAATATTTTTTCATCAATTGATGATCCTTGTTTTGTTTTAATTCTGTGTAGCTGTTGCTTCTATTTCTGCTGGAAATGACGAGCTTATTGGGATGATGATCGCTGATGCCATTGAAAAAGTGGGGCCTGATGGTGTCTTATCCATTGAGTCATCATCTTCCTTTGAGACCACTGTTGAAGTTGAAGAAGGGATGGCGGTGTGTAGTTTTGCTCTTTACTGAAGAGTATCTTTCTTAATCCAATTCCAAGTCATTCATGCACGTTATAACTCTACTCTATGTCTTCATCTTTTTCCTGTTGCAGATTGACAGAGGCTATATTTCTCCTCAGTTTGTAACAAACCCTGAAAAATTAATTGCTGAATTTGAGAATACACGAGTATTAGTTACAGATCAGAAAATTTCGGCCATAAAGGATATAATCCCTATATTGGAGAAAACCACGCAATTGAGAGCTCCTTTGCTGATCATTGCAGAGGATGTTACTGGTGAGGCTTTGGCTACTCTTGTTGTGAACAAGTTGCGGGGGATTCTAAATGTTGCTGCCATTAAAGCTCCGGGCTTTGGAGAAAGGAGAAAGGCGATGCTTCAAGATATTGCCATTTTGACAGGTAGTCTATTTTACGAAGGGTTTGCAACGAGGAGTTAATTTTATAAATTTGATCTGCTTTTATGTTGATTTGAGTAGAATGGCTAACGTTTTTCTTGTTACTTTATTATTGTTTTAGGTGCTGAGTTTCAAGCCAATGATCTTGGATTGCTAGTAGAAAATACTTCAATTGAACAGCTTGGTTTGGCCCGAAAAGTGACCATCTCCAAGGACACTACCACCATCATTGCTGACGCTGCTTCAAAAGACGAGTTACAAGCCAGGATTGCACAGCTAAAGAAGGAATTGGCGGAGACAGATTCTGTGTATGACACAGAGAAACTCGCTGAAAGAATTGCCAAACTATCTGGTGGTGTTGCTGTCATTAAAGTAGGAGCTGCAACAGAGACTGAACTTGAGGACCGTAAGCTCCGTATTGAAGATGCAAAGAATGCAACTTTCGCTGCCATAGAGGAAGGCATTGTACCTGGCGGTGGTGCTGCACTGGTTCACCTCTCAACTCTTGTCCCTGCAATCAAGGACAAGCTTG